TAACACTTGAAATTAATTTAAATTAATTAATTGATCATCTTGGGACCTATCTATCATTCTCTCTAAAATAATTGATTTCTCTTATAAAACTTCCAAATAATGGAATGTCGAATTTCATTTCACTTTGTCCCACCTGCCCCATTCCATTTTATTAATGATCATTCATTTTCATTCTATCATATACTTTCAAACATATCGTTAGTGTAATATTTTTCTTTTAAGAAATGTACTCATTCAATAATTTAATATAATTTATATTTTTGTTTTAGAAAAAATATTTTTCACGCACCAAATTCGTAGTCTGTAACATATATTTGGTAAATATGAAAATATAATGCAAACTTCAAGGAAAAATAGAGAATACACCAACCTCACTTTCTTTAATTCTAGATATATGTTACATTTATTTTTGAGAAAATAAATTTTCATGTATCAAATATAGTTTGTGTGAATGCTATCCATCATGCAACTCCTTTTTGCCCCCTATTTTTAACCAATAAAACGTGCATGAACCGCTCAGACATCACAGACTAATAATGATTATGGTTTTTGAAAATTCGGCCTTTTGAATCAAAATTCTGAAATCCTTAGCCTTTTGCTCATACTTAATGCGATGTTCCAGTTAAGTCTGGTTTCACCGGCATTTCTTTTAAGCCGCGTTATCCATCCACTGCATTATGCATGAATATATAAGACTGACAGACGAGTTAAAATTCATAATACAATATTTTGAAATGATGTAATAAGTAATAAATACTGTACGTGCGTTTCATCCTATGTATATATATATATTATTAATCCAAATTTTATATGAAAAAAATTAATCTTTTAATCCTTAAATTTTTAACTTATTTTTTACTCAATCCCTCAACTTTTGTTATTTTTTTTTCTCATTTTAGCTTAGATCCCACATTAAAGAGCAAGAGAAGGATATTTTAAAGCAATATATGAGAACTTTTTTCATCCCTCTTATTTGATAATTATAATTTCTTAAAAAATTAAAAAATAAGAATCGAGTTATAAGTGAGTCAAAAGTTGAGGAATTGAGTTATAGGGAGTCATAGTTAAAGAATTGAGTTATAAGTAAATTAAAAGTTAAAGTACTGAAATAGTAGGGCCTGTTTGGTTTTTGTTCTCATTTTTTGTTTTAAAAAAAATTCTGTAATACAATTTTTAAAAAATAAAATAAAAAATTTGTTTAGTTATGTTAATTAAAAAAATTTTAGAATTAAAAAAATGGACGAATAGTGATGGGTACGTGCAATTAATGGTGGTGATTAATAATATAAATTGATTAAGATAACTATAATTTTTACTAATTAAATGTTGTGTATTTTAAAAATAAGAAAAATAAAATGAAAACAACTTAAAGTTATTTTTTATTTTACCATTTTTAAAAAATAAAAAATGAAAACAGTTTTAAAAATAACTAAATGAAAAACACTTATCTAAATAAAATTTAAATTTTTTTGTTTTAAAAAATAAAAATTAATTTTTATAAACAGAAAATAAACAAGCTCTTGATATTCTCTTTTATCTAATATAAAATGTTAGAAGAAAGTATCCTCACATGGGAGAATGGATAGGAGAAAGTAGTTTATGGTGAAGGAAAATACAAAATGGACGTGGAGAGGGAAATACATACTAGAGAAGGGCGATGCATAGTGTTGTGAAATTTGAAGTTTGCTTGCTCCACAAATGGAATAAGGTAGTTGCACCCACATCCCTCCCCCAATCAATGTCACTCAGCTTTCCCTCCGCGGGAACAAGGTGGAAGTGACCACGAGGGCAGCCGGAAGATTTACACGTAAGGAAGTAGTCATGGCGCATGGAAAAGTAAACAAGTTGGTTCAATTGCCTTTGTCCTTTTTCTGGGGGGGGGGTCTTTTTCGCACTCGGCTTTTCATTTCCGTTGGAAGCATCATCGAAGCTTTATTCTTAACCCCCCGAATAAAAAATAAAATAGAAAGAAATTAAATTAAGTTTGCGCCTGGTCAGACTATTCCACTTTATTAGGATTCGTCAATAACAGCGACAATTATTTGATTCCCAGGGAGTCTTCTCCAAACCCCACCGTCATTGCAATATCATAAGACATAGTAAGCGCTCACGGCGACTCGGTCAACTTACAAATCTTGTCATTCTTTCTCGTTCAATTCAATGCTCCCAGCACATGATCCCTCCTTCATTTCCTTGGTCCTGCTACCATCTCTATATTATTTCCAGAATAATCACTTCATTAATCAATATTATTCCTCCAAATTAACTTTAAATCAAATTATGCTCTCTCCCCAAATCTATTCCCATGCATAGAATTTTTTTTCCCCTCCTTTCTCGGGATCTGCAGTCGGACTCTGTGTTGCCTAACCCTTTTGACAATCCCGGCCCGTACGTGCGTAGTTTAATAAGAAAACACAACAATGAATAACCTTTCAAAAAGGGGGAAAAAAGAACAAAGAATAACTATAGTTTGAATTGAATTCGACCTTTATAGACGTGTCTGTAATTAGCCCGGAAGCATCCGCGAGGCCTCCAATTTTGACTGTAGATATAGGCCGGTAGAAAGCCAAGAGCAGCAAGGGAGAAGTAAAGTGAAGAAAGAATAATGGCAGGATCCTCATACTTTCGGTAGATAGCATTCCTTTTATGAAATTGCAAGGAAGGATAGAAAATGAGGAGGGACGATTACCGATAACGATCGATCCTGATTTTTTTTTTTTTTTTAAAAAGGAGGAAACATGCATGTGATTAATTAAACACTGGCCTCACAGTAAGAAACGGGAATAAACAGAGGCTTTGATCATGCGCTAATATTAGAAGGAAAGAGAATATATTTTGGACGTGCAAGTCTTGTAAAAGAGTATACAAAAAAGTAAAAAAGGGTGGGTTGAGAGTTCATGGGTAGGCTGGTTCCAGAGAAGGAGAGCTTTTGACTTAGGAGAAGCAGGGGTTAGGTAAGTTAGGTGCGGGTGGGAACCCTATTATTGGCCTCCAAACGGTCCCTTGGATGCCCGGACTTGTTCTCATATGCCATGCACTGAGCAACGGGGGTTGGGTGTGTTTTTCAAAGCAAGCGAAGTTTCTCAATCCTTTACACACACATTCACTCCCCATGCGCCGAAACAGTTCATGCCATTTCTTCTGCCCTTTTCTACACGCTATGCCTGTGCCCATTCCACATTGACGTCACCAATCACACATAATTTTAATCTACCATTTCTACGCCGTGCATCTCTACATGCTGTCTGATCCATTCTTCCCCGGCATCCCTTCTACCCATGTCTTCACTTACACTACTCTACATTTCCGGTATCTATTTTATTCAAACAAGGGAAATTATAAAATATTTCTTTGTAAATTAACGCTTGCTCGCGTAAATTTTTATTTTAAAAATATCATACTCTTTATATGCGTAGACTGCCGTATAATTTCTTTATACGAACAAGCTATATGATTACAAGACTTGATTAGATTTGACGTTTCTTTTCTTTCTTTCTTTCTTTTTTAGGGATGAAGGATAGATTTGATGTTGGCAAATGAAAATTAAAATCATTGTTGCCCAGATGGCCATGGTTAACGAGCAATGCGATAGGGTTGCCTGAACTGGGAGGAAGAGCCTTCCCCGTGTATTTCTTTTAAGTTGGCCACCATCAATAATTCAACATTCAAAATGCTGCCACATGAAAGGACGAAAAGGTAATGATGCCTCTAGTTTTGAGTGCGACAAATAATTGTGCCGCTTCGATTGGAACTGCTTGTTTCCTTCCAACCTTCTTTTTTTTAATTGTTTGTTGAAATTTCGTCGACGACGCTCAATGAAATTCAACCTCTATTTCCTAGTTCCAAAATCTAAAGTCTACATAACAAAAGCACGTACCCATAATTAATAAAATGTAGAAAATAGCAATGCCATTGAGAAGGAAGCACGTTTTGGAAGTTTAAACACCTTCATAGCAATGCTAGGTAGGAGGTTCAGTTTGACGGGAAAAGTGCCCTTGCTGAATGCCCAACGTCACACGCAAGAAAACTAGCGGCGCCTCAGTACGTAGTTTCTGATAAATGGCGTGCCAAGCAAATATGCAGTGCGACACAAATACTAAACAAGCTATCATAAACTATCATAAACAAACTATCATAAATTTATTTTCTAACGTCGTTTCGATCCCTCAGTTTGTGCAAAGGAGTGCAATTTTTTCAAAAAAAAAAAAGAAAAAAGAAAAGCCCCGGCCGTGATGTGTATGTACACAGCTGCAAGAAAAAGTCATTACCAACCGCCATGGGTTATGCACGTTATGATTAGCCAGACTTTTTAAGGAAAACATCTATTATTTGGCACTTCTGCTTCGGAACCCCTCCAAGAAACCGAGGACAAACAAAAATTATTAGACCTGCGGGGGTTTAATAGATCAGAGTGGTCCTCCTTCTTTCCTTAAGTTGATGCACCGAGATAGTGCCAGTGCTTCCGCACTAGGCCTTGTCTGTATTTGTACTTTATATTGTGCAAAAAATACAAAACCTCTCCGTTTCACCAGCAACCTTTTAATTCTCCAGTAAAAAACCAGCATGTCCGTCCATTTACTCCAAAACTTCTCTCTTATCCTCTCATTCCCGAAATGCTGAGCGGTGAAATATTCGTAACAATGAGTAGTTACTGGCTAACCAGTAAGAAAAGAAAGAGAGAGAATTGTATTATATTTCCGAGGACAAAATACAAGAATTTTATAAAATTTGGCACGATAAAGGGAAATAGGGGTAAGGTTAGGAAAAAAAAAAACTGGACAATAATATAGGAAAGGTTCCATATAATTGATTATTGTACACCTAGCAGACAGAAGAAAGAAAAAAGAAAGTGGCCCCTCCAAGCTCTAATTTAGTATAGTTGCTGGGAAGTTTAAGTGCCAGGCAAAAGAATGGTGGTTTCGTCGGTTTGTGCCGTGAAACCTAAGTTTATAAATTGACCACACACACCCGGCACTGTCATTTTTTATTCCTATAAAGCCCCCTCCTTCGCCACAGTTTGCATACGCACACTATACTACCCATCTCTGTTCTGCTCTGTTTTTCTTCTCATCCGGCCCTTTCTATTCTTTACTCTCTCCCCCGCTAGTTTCTTTCCCGTACTACAATTCTTAAGCTACCGGTCTCCGAAAGCTACGTCCTCTGAGATATATAAGGTTGGCGTTGTGAAGATGACGAACCAGAATCTGGTGGTTCCTGACGTAAAATCACGTATTAACACCTTTATTGAGGTGGCCGTGTCCATTTCCAACTCGCCCATGCTGCCCAGCACGGGAGTACCAGAATCGCTGGTCGTGTTTGGTGGGATTGTCGGTAAGAAGATAATGAAGAGGCTTGACGATGGAGGAGGCAAAGGTGGAGCCAGAGTTAATGCCTGGATTGATTCGATGAGAGCTTCCTCTCCCACACGAGTCAAATCCACCCTTCCTACTTCTCAAAACCAACGCTTGAGTTCTTGGGCTGTGAGCATCTATCTTTGGCTTCCTCATAGATTTTATCTGACTTTTCGTCCGTTGCGAGGTTATCAATGGGTATGTACTGACTTGACTCTGTTCTCTTTCTGAACTGTTTAAATGCACAGCTTCATCATCCTTCGGCGATCAGCATGTTTGATCAGATAATCAATAAGTCAAAAGATAAGCCGATAGCAATCTTCCTTGACTACGATGGAACTCTCTCCCCAATAGTTGCTGACCCAGATAAAGCGTTCATGACAAAGAAGGTCTTTTTTTTTTTTTTTGGCCCCTCTCTCCAACTCTGCTATTGATACTTTGATGGAAATTGTTGGTAATAGTAGTTGCTTTGGTTTTCTTGAATCAGATGAGAGCAACAGTAAAGGATATAGCAAAACAATTCCCCACAGCCATCGTGAGTGGAAGGCGAAGAGACAAGGTGCATTTTTCTTGGAAGTGAAAAATGTTAAAAGTGATGGTCTATAGTAAAACTTGTAATTACGTGACCGCTAATAATTTGTCCTCTCAAATTTTCTTTCAGGTTTACAAGTTTGTGAGATTAGCAGAGCTGTACTACGCAGGCAGCCATGGCATGGACATCAAAGGACCGACAAAAAGCCAGGGATTTAAGAAGGTGAGATAGTTTACTCAACTCTGCGAGACGACCACTACACGTATATTTATGTGAAAATTGGGCTTAGTTTCTAAACTTCTACGGTTGTTTCAGGGTAATCAAGCAGCCCCCTTCCAACCTGCGAGCCAATTCTTGCCCATGATCAATGAGGTTGGTGTCGTTTTTAAATCCCCATATTAAGACCGCAGTCCAGTCAAATATAGTGACAAGTGTCATTGTCATGGTTTTGTTTTCCAGGTTTACAAGATCTTGTTGGAGAAAACAAAATCTGTGGAAGGGGTAAAGGTTGAGAATAACAAGTTTTGCTTGTCCGTGCACTTCCGTTGCGTTGACGAAAAGGTAACAGTCAAAAAAAATAATAATGAATCGGTAAGTTACATTGCAAACAGAGTGAAGGCGCTGACTCTGTTGTTTCTCAGAGCTGGGGTGCATTGGCGGAGCAAGTTCGAGTGGTGCTGAATCAGTACCCAAAACTTAGGCTGACAGAAGGGAGAAAAGTGCTTGAGATCCGACCAATCATCAAATGGGACAAGGGCAAAGCACTTGAATTTTTGTTACAATCGCTCGGTGAGTTCTCCGTTTCCACGCAATATTATATCGCCTTCTTTGACGGCCAGAGAAGTCGTCCGTATCATGAGCTAATTATTCATCCTATAATTCCCAGGATTCACCAATTCCGAGGATGTCTTTCCCATCTATATCGGCGATGACCGAACTGACGAGGATGCTTTTAAGGTAATGACAGCTGCTGTACAAGCAACGGTTCCTGCTTATATTAATGCTTTCATATCAGCTGATTTTATTTGAATCACGCAAATCAGGTGTTACGTAGTAGAGGCAGGGGCACGGGAATTCTTGTGTCTGAAGTGCCGAAAGAAACAGAAGCTTCCTACACTTTACAAGACCCATCAGAGGCAAGTCTGATTAATTATCTACCTATCTATCTTCACACACGCACACACACACTCATCAAATTAATGCTTGATTAACGTTTGTGACTGCAATTACATTAAAGAACGTGTTGTTAATACTGTTTACTTTGTGCGGTTACAGGTTGAGCAATTTTTGCGGCGTTTGGTGGACTGGAAAAGGCGGAGTGATGAGAGGGGGAACGAGAGTTGAGTAGTAGATATTGTAGATGAGTTGGTGGTAAGGATTGAGTGGAGAGTTGAGAGCACCTCAAAATCAAGTTTTGGTCAAAGAGGTGGATTCCATTGTATCATTTAGAATGGAGTATAGTGTTATTCCCGCACGTTAAATTTGAGGATTTAAAATTTATTTTTGGTATATTATATGTTTTTTAGAATTTCAAAGTACGTAATATTATTTGATAAAAAATTTTCCAGTTCTACTCTCATTTAATCCAACAATTTTTAAACATTTTTCTCATATGCCGCGCCTAGCTATTCCAAATCCAACGCAATTAAACGAGAGACAATTTAATTAATAACTTATTAGATTAAATGAGAGTAAAACAAAAAATTATATCATTGAATATCATTTTGAAATTATATAAAACTTATAATAAGTAACAAAAAATATTTATTCCGGAAAAATACAATAAAATAGACGGAATGGATTATATCAAACACAATAAACCTGGAAACTTTTTCAATTGTAAACCTGTTGTATGGAGGCAAACTAATTTTCTTTAGCTAAATTTTTTTAGTCATATTTATAAATTATTTTTAATATTTTTTACATAAGTCGGGAAAAATCTTAAAATTTATTTACTTTGTTTAAAAATCTAACAAATTTTCAGCTTTTTCAATATTAAATGTGTACACACACACACTTTAATAATGTACTCTCTTTTATCCTTATTATAAAGCATATGAAGAATTATTTATTATCATTTTTTAATTTTACCCTTGTTGTAAATCCAAATTTATGGCTCATTGTATGTTATGTATCTCTCTTCATATTTTTAATATGGGTAAAAAAAATTTCATTTTAAGACGTTAATGAGTTATTCTTTCCTGTTCAAAATATAAGTACCTTTTAACAATAATTCATCTACGTACCAATAAAATTCTTATTCTCATAAAAATATTTATTATTTTCTCTTTTTACCCTTAGTTTCAATTAATAATTAGTGAAAAGAATGTAATAAATTCAAAAATATAATAATCTAGATTAATAAATACAAGTTGTAAAATGATTTTTTTTTCAAATATTAATCTTATATTTCAGATCAAAATTAGCTAGTAGAAAATGTTTATATTGTAGATCAGAGGGAGTAACTATCATTTATTAATTCTAATAAAACTGTTAAAAGCGTCTTATAATAAGAATGAGAGAATATTTTATCTCATCAATATTTAATATAGAGGTAAAAGGTAAAGTTTGTAATAAAAATTTAATGATACGACCTATAAATAATACTCCCTCTTTCTCAAATTATAAAATATTTTTAAACTAAATCTCATATACCAATAAACTTCATTAAATACACTTAACAACCTTATCTTTTCAAAATAAAAATATAAATTTTTAAAAATATCTATCATTTAATATATTTAAAAAAGAAGGAATGTAAATTAATTACACAGAGAGAAAGAGAAAGGATAATATTAAAAGTGATGCATTTAGTGAAACCTTAATTTACCCAAAGTGTTTTATATTTGAGATAAAAAAACTCCTTCAAAAGTGCCCTCAATTTAGGACGGAGGGAGTCTTAAAAAATTATTTCCCTCATATCTCTACTAAAGGAATAGGTAATTAAGAGCAACTTTTATGATTGGAGGACCATATGGATTATTGAGTCCTCTGTTATATTGAACCTTGATTTTGGTGAACAGAGTTTGTGGATATGGATGTTACTGTCCAATTACATTAAACTCAATTTCATGGGTAGCAGGGTCCTCGGGTTGCTCTTTGAATTATAGTAAAGAAGTCTTCCTTCCAATTAAGTGGAAGTAGAGAAAATCATAAATATGAAAACCATGTGGATTCTTGAAGCTGCAGCCTCAAATCCTCATTTTCACAGGAAGACATTAATAATAATAATAATAATAATAATAATAATAATAATAATAATAATAGTTAATAAATTACTAATCTTATAAAAATACACCTCCATGTACAGTTGTCCATATAATATCCCAAGTCATGACATAAAACTGCACGCGTGTTGAGATAGTATTGATGATGCACCGACTATTATATTAAAGAAGCCAGGTTTGAAACTCTAGGGAGGGAGCAACAACTTACAGTAATTTAATTAATGGCGAATTCGTAATACTCTTTCTGTAAAATAAATATCACTTTAAAACGAATCTCGTTGCAGAAAAGCCTGATCTGAATCAATAGCTATAATTTTTGTTCCCCGAACCTTAGTAGGTTGGGGTCAGGATCACGATACTCGCGAAAAGAAAGAACAAAATTAGATTCACATGCATATCTTCTTCAGCACGACTCATGTGGGTACATACTACATAGCCAAATAATTCCAAAAATGTGACAAATAAATCTACATTTTGTTTCAAATATATGGTAAACATCATTATACATCCGGGTTTCGGTTTTTCTCAATGACCATATAGTAATTTAGTTCAAGGCTAATATATTTCAGATTTAGACGAACACATTTAGAAATACTAGTATCAAAGCTGGAACCGTGATGGCTTTTGGCTCCTTCCAGAATAAACTTTATGTTTCTGTTCTGACTAACGACTTCACTTTTCCCGTGTGCAGAGGCTAATGATTAATCATGTACCTAATAACCAGGTTAATCCTCCAGCAATTTCGAAGAAGTATCCCTGATGTAATTGCTAAGAATAAGATGATTGTATATATTGATATTGAAAATCAAAGCAAAAACAATCTCAGAAGATAAACCAGTTGGTGTTGTCCCTCCTAACTCGTACGCAGTCCATAAAGCATCACCCTATTGTCAGGCAAGAGCTAGCTAGAAAGAGCCTTGTGACCGCAAGGTATTAACTTCAATAATTTAATTAATTATTAATATATAACTGGGGTTTGTGCGAGGAAAGGAGGGGATGGCACCATCTTAGGGTGCCAAGAACTCCAAATCTGGATCATATTTCCAATTATTAAGATCGAGAATTTAAGACAGTTGCCAAAGCCAAAGCAAAGATCTGGGATAATAAACTAAGAAGCACTCATCGCGGCAGAAGATTCATCCTAACATGCCTTATAATTAAATAACAACGGAAAGCCCCACCTATGCTTAGGGTATGACCTAGACAGTCTTTTATTGTTCACATAGAGAGATTTTGTTCTAAATTATTGGGCACCCAGATTTGATACAGTCCACCTCAATCAAATATCAGAGTGGCATCTAAAAATTCACATATTTTAGGGGGAAAAATGGATCGGGATCTTTGATATAATGGGTTTTATTTTTCAAAGGATTGGGTGTGTGAAAGGGAAACCCACTACTTTTGTGAATCTGATACATTGTTGAGGAGGAGTTGGAATCCACTCAAAGTGCTTGATTTGAAGAAGACATTAGGGATTCATAATGGGGACATCCAGCATGCTTCCAAGCCTTCTAAAAACAACCCATACATTTGTTTTTGTTCCATACGTGTAAAGCTAATTTTGCCACTAGATTCAGTTCCCATCATCTGTGGCTTCAGTTCAAATAAAATGAGTCCCGATCGAACCTCCAATTATTGGTTAAAGAAACACTCACTCGCCGCCAAAAGACATCCCCTTGAGTTTCCCTCTCATTATTGCTAAAGTCGAGCAGCTTTCATGAATGATACATATGGTATTGGAGTGAGAAAAATAAGGCTGGCCTGGCTAGCTAACTGCATATATATTCGTCGCCAATATCAAAGCCGTATATATTAAAATAGATACGCCCTTATATATATATATGCTCCCAAGAAACCGCACCTGAGATTAAAAAAAATGACACACTTCACTTGAGAGACCGTGCATTCATTTCATATTAACTTCACAGACCAAACGCCATGCACAATGTGGGATATATTTTAAGCCTTTCTCCGTGACACACTCTTCTGGCCACAGCAACTGGTTGGAGTTTGCTGGATTATACTACTATTATTCAGAAACAGTGGCTCATTCTTTAATCGAATCAGCCACGAATGTGTAAATGGTTCTGTATTTCATGTAGAAATGACACATGGAGATACTCAATAATGGATCTCCATATACACACATACAGAGAGAGAGAGAGAGAGAGAGAGAGAGAGAGACATGGAATTGGTCCCCGCATAGAGGGTCGAGCATTGGCGTAGTCAGTGGCTGTCATATGCAAAACGTCGTGAATGGTGAGGTGAATGGCTGGCATTGAATAATTTGGAGTTGAAGGGGTGCTTCATTACGAACATTTGCTGCCGGGGGAGGGAGCAAAACGACAGTGGCTGTTTATGAGTTTAAATACCTGAAAGCCTGAATGGTTGTTGCTACGTACTGTTATGTACATATAAACCGAGCCTTGGCCTTGATGGATCTGGACAAAGCTGACGAGGGCGAATGAGGGAGTGATTAGAATCACATAGAAGCTAAAGTATGCCAATGGGACCGGCCATTGACGATGATGAGCAATTATTGTGTTTGGGTTATCATGCAACAGCATCTGTCACTGCTTCAAATGGGACATATGTTGCCATAACGGGCATGCATATATGCAGTTCCCTTTGGCTGATCACAGCACGCTCCCAAACAAAAATGCTTCTCTGCGCTGCCACCTAACCTTTACCTAAACCTATATCTTCCCGCTATTCTGTTTGGTTTCTCTCCCACTTTTACGTTTTTTACCCCCCCGGGGCCTTACTTTTATATCGACGCATTTCAACTGTTCATATTCAATTTCATCATCTGAATACGTTTATTACCTGTATGTCTTTTTCAAAACCAACATTCCAAAAACTTCATATATCCGTGTGAGTGTGTTACACGAACAGAGAGCCTTATAGAGCTTCGGAGATAATGGTAAACCTCCCAATTATGCATGCGAAGTCTTCACATTTTTTGTCTTTCTTGTGAAGGACATCTGTAAAACAAAAAATACATAAAAATAAAATATAAACGCTTTGCGAGGGGAGGGGGAGAGAGAGACAGGAGAGGCGCCGCATGCCAGACTATGTCCCTTGATTTGTCGTCTTTTACTATTTTGGTTGAGGAGAGAGAGAGCTACATTTTGCCCTTTAGCACCTGAACTAGTATTATTTCCGTACCCAGCTGGCGCAGCATTAAAGTGATTTATTGTTAATATTATGCTTTTGGATCAACCAGTTTTAGATGCCCTCCCATCGAATGCTTCTACAGTTTAATTCACGAATTTGATTGGC